CCTTTTTTTTTTTTTTTTTTGGAGAGGTTTTCGCTTTAGGGTGCATGCGCTTGCCAGACAGACAGAGAGAGATAGAGAGACAGAAAGCAAGAAATAACACCCCAGGGGGGGATGGCCATGCCGCAATCTCTTCTCCTCCATTCTCCTCTCAGGATCTTGGGCACGCACGCACATGCGCCCGGCATGAGTTTTAAGCCACCAGGTCCGGGACGCGAACCACGGTCGACTACGTGGGAGTCCAGCGACATAGCCATTACGCTAACTGCTGGTTCCCTTTATATGCATTTCTGATGGCTTCAACTATCACTTTATTGCAGAAAGCCATAAAAAGAGTACTTCTTATACTGGTTTCTTCTTGGAACCCCATAGAATATTTCTAAAGACCATCAGAATGTTTTTCCTTGGACATATCATTTACATATTTAAACAATAGTTACCTAAAACATATGCCATTTTTCCCATCCCATAAAAAAGGGCTTTTCTGCTGCCTTTTCTCCATAATTGGTAGTATCGGTAGTATTCAGACTTGAAAACTGTGAGTCATCTTTATCTCCCTGGTTTCTACTTACAAACTACTGTTAGCCACGTCTCATGTTTCATCTAAAGTAATCCCCCTTGCTAATACCCTCATTTCCACTGTGCATAATCTCTCAGTTATTCTTCTTGAAGCCTGTTTTAATCATTATATTCTACTACCCCCAAACCTTTTCATTTTAATTTACTCCTTACTCAAGCATTCAAGTCTTCCTTATTATTGTTCCACATACCTTTCTAAATGTATTTGTTAATATTATCTGAGAAACAGAAATTACCTGTTCACCAAATTGGACAGTTTTGCTCTCCTAATATTCACTCCTTGTCAGCAAATGGATTTAGCATGATTATTCTTACCATTCTTTTCCATTTAAATCTTATCTGCTCAAGGTTTGTCTCCAAACTTCTCCAAGAATAGCCAATCTTTCGCATCTGATACCTGAAAGCATTTTTTTAAATCTTCTGTTCTCTATCTTACTATGTTTATTTTTACCTGCTCTTCCATGATAAGTACTCAAATGGTTAAAACTTGCCTTAAAACTTGATCGCTGTGGCATCAAGTATGGCAAAATATAGGACACGGTACTGGATAGATCAAAAACTGTAGGATGGGGTCAGCAGGTGGTGTGGTGGTTAATGTGCTGGATTCCCAGACCCAGCAACTTGAAATTCATGCCAGGAGTGCATTTGTGCGAGCCCAAATTCCCAGGAGAATGGAGAAGGGATTGCCGTATGGCCATCTGCTCTGAGAGGTGATTTTTCACTTTTCTTGTCACCATCTCTTACTGTCTCTGTCTCTGACAATCACACTTACCCTATGGCATAAACCTTTAAAAAAAAGATCTGTAGAATGGTTGAATTCTTGCATTGTCACACAAAAAAAATAAAACCTTTGTTAAAACTAAGTATGGTATAGAAATACAGTGTCATTTTTATTTGGTTTTCCACTTAAATATTTTAAATATTGGATAAGTTCATATTTCCTAAGCCTTTACCTCATATGTGTCTCTTTATTCATGTATTCATGTACAATTTTTATTTTGTATAAGAGTAGTACAAGCACTCTATCAGATTCAGAATCCTTAACTGATTACCTGAACTTTCAAAATCTCTTAATCAATTGTGGTAATATAATTTTAAGTTACTCATGTCAATTTTGTATGACTATCTGATAATATAATGAGAAACGAACAAGAGAGTAGAAAAGAATGATCATAAGAGCTTTAATAAGGAGTCACAATCAATTAAACTTCTATCATTTCAATTTTTTCCTAGGATATCCGTAGAGGTTTGGAAAATAATGTTAATGTTGAATTATTGAATGCTTTACATAGCCACATGGTTAATAAGAGAATGTTGACCAAGGACTTGAAAAATGGCATGATTGTTCCTTCGATGTATAACAATTTGGGGCTTTTCATTAACCATTATCCTAATGGGGTAAGTTTTATTAATAAAAGTACATTTCTGAATAATCTGTCCCTAAATTTTATCTACACTTTTTTTATTATTTATTGTTCCTGTTTGCAGAAACAGTAAAATGTTATTAAAAATAGTAAATTGTTATATCGTAACTCTATTCAAAATCTAGTGCATGTAAATTTCCTATCCTCTTACCATTTCATATTAAAGAGTAATTGTGAGGGATAAATTACAACAGTTCATTGACAGTAGATTTATGTGTTCTAAAAAAGAAATTTTAATAATTGGTGTGTTTAAAATAATTGTTTGTAGATAGCAAAAAAAGAATGGAGAATTTGTGTTCATTTATTTCCCCTCTGGCTACTGCCCTGATTGCAGTTTTTGTGTGTTTGGAAAAGAGTCGGTAGCAAACTGCCAACAAGGCCCGAAGACTCTTTCAACAGTCAATTTTCAGGGACGAAATAGGTCAGTGATGAGGCAAGATCTTGGAAGTCGTTGTAATAGAACTGATTACATTTGTTTATTGTTTGTTTCTCCCTCTGAGAACTTATTTCAAGGCTAATTAGACTTATGTAATTCATGGCCCTGCATTACAAATAGTTTACGATTATCTGTATAAAAGAAACAAATAAGGACAGTAATCCCAATGAGAGAATACTGTTGCCTTTATGTTTCCAAGTAGAGTAAGTGTGACTAGATTTTGGTTCTGAACTGGTTCGGTTTCCTCTTACAGTTTCTTTTTTAGCTATAACAATATGTAAATCTGCATTCATAGCATTTACATTCGGAAGGAAGGTTCCCGTTACATTTGCTCATACAAATGGAAGACTTAACACGGGCTAGCAGTTTCAGTGGTCACTGAAAAGCTCTGATTTCAACATTTCGATATTCCGAAATAATTATAGGTTGTCACCGTTAACTGTGCGCGAATCATCCATGGGAACCAGATTGCAACAAATGGTGTTGTACATGTGATTGATCGTGTCCTTACACAAATTGGGACCTCGATTCAAGACTTCATTGAGGCAGAAGACGACCTTTCATCGTTTAGAGTAAGTGCAGGAGCAGCTGTTCTTGGATTGTCGAAATTCTTTTTTCCTTTTCAAATTCTAAAAGTAATGAAAATGTATTAAACAAATGTAGCAGAAATATAACAAATACAAATACATTTGTTGAAATGAATTCTTTTTACTTTACACAGTAGAAATCGTCTCCTCATTTGAGGTAATAATGTTTGTGCGGCCATGATAGAGAACAGTTAATTATGTGACCACAGAGTAGCAGCACATTTAGAATGAGCCCATTTCAGTTAATACACTGAATGCAGATACAGACACCGATGGAATTCCTATTCTTGAAAACACAGTTTGGACAAGTTGGATTTACTAGATTGTGCCAAAAAGTAATGCTGTAAACATCTAACAGGAATAAATGTCTATAGTAAAAAAATCAACTCTCTCAGGTCAATCTAAGCCAAGCATGTAACTTTCCTTTGGTGGTGTGAAGTTCAAGCCTCTGAAACGCACTCTTATGTTTCAGGCAGCTGCCATCACATCTGACATATTGGAGACTCTTGGAAGAGACGGCCACTTCACACTCTTTGCTCCTACTAATGAAGCGTTTGAGAAACTCCCACGAGGTGTCCTAGAAAGGATCATGGGAGACAAAGTGGCTTCTGAAGGTAGTAAAATGTCTTTCCTCGGGGAGAGGTTTCCCATAATCTCAAATAAAAGAAATGAAAAGCAGACTAGTTTTGGTCTATAGTATCAACTTTGATAAGCAAAGGCAAAGTAACAGTTTTATTCTGAGGTGCATTTTTAAAATCTTGGGAGAAAAATAGTTTCTGAAAGGGTAGGTAGAGTATAATTCATAAATAATAAGACTATGTTAAAGATATTCTTTTGTACTGCTTCCAATGAAGTAAGTAGCAGATATTAAGAAGGAGTAGCAAGGGCCCAAACATGGTGGCACAAATGACAAGGGACTGACACAATGGCTGAGACCACACAGAAGGCCCTGGTTGAGATCTCAGTCCAAACTAAATGGGCTGAGTGTAATGACACACACCTGTGGTGGTAGCTAACAAGGAGACGGGGCAGAAGGGCCACTATGTGGTGAGACCCTGTCAGAATCATTCTCTTGTCTCTCTCTTACTCTCCATTCCTCCTGCTCACTTACACGCTCTCAAAAAAAGTGTCAGCAACTATTGAAAAGAAATGTTATGTTGTTAAATTTTAATATTGTATACATATCCAATGCTTTTCATTCTACATTAATGCTAAATGATATAGTTCCACTGATACAATTGCATGGTTCTTTTGGCATGCTACTTCTTGATACACAGAAGAAATTGGCTTCATTCCAATCTCCTTTAATATTGTCAAGTAGATTTTACATTATAAGTCCACATTTCACATACTAGGCACATACCAAAATACATTTCACAAGTTTAAGATGAGAAATTTTGAGAATACAGGTGTGGATATAACAGAGCTGAGGCTTAGATCCCTCCAAAAGTCCTTCAGAAATCATCCTTATTTGGTTACTTTCTAGATGTTGTCTTTAGGAAGCTATTGTCTTAACCTCTCTCAACCTTATTGTAAATTATGTGCTGATAGTCTGTTATGAGAAGCTAATGTAAGCTACTACTTCAATGTTTTAGAACAGATACCACTAACAAAAATAATTTTTAAATAATTTTTAAACTTTCTGAAAGGACCTAATCTTTTCACTTTCAAATCATGAATTACTTTCTTAAAATATCTGGACCTGAATCTACCACATTTTTAGTATTGGATCAATCATTTCCTGCAGCTGAACTTCCCTTCTTAATTCTTACCAAGTTCTTCTGATTTTATTGGATAGTTGTGAGAAAACCTTTCTAAACCATAAACAGGATTTTTAAACTTTCATTTAGTTACTACTTAGGTCTTACATATGTAATATGTCATAGGAACTTCATTCCATCATGAAACACATCTTTTAAGAGTCAAATGTTATTTCCCTTGATCTGAAAACTTGCTCTTTTCATTTTGTCCTCCAGCTCTCATGAAATACCACATATTAAACACTCTCCAGTGTTCTGAGGCAATTATGGGAGGAGCAGTCTTTGAGACCCTGGAAGGAAACACAATTGAGATAGGATGCGATGGTGACAGTATAACAGTAAATGGAATCAAAATGGTGAACAAAAAAGATATCGTGACAAATAATGGCGTGATCCATCTGATTGATCAGGTCCTAATTCCTGATTCTGGTGAGCAACAGTTTAGTAATTTTTTACTTACTATTGCCCTATTATGGTATCTTAAAAGTAAGCCCATGGGATGATATTTTTAATTCTTAAAGTCTATGCCATACAGAAAAAGACTGATCAGTGTCTGTCCTTGAAGTTATTTTTGAAGTATGTTTGGGATTTTTTTTTTTCTGATGAGATTATAAAGTTTTTTGAGACAGGTATTGCTTCCTAAATTTTTCCTTTATTATAAACATGTAGTGTCTTGTATAAATCTAGTAAACACCTATCCAAGTAAACTTCAAAATATTTGTTAAGAAATAAAGTATAACTCTTTTTTGGTGCAAAATAAAGTAAGCCTATGAAAAATGAATGCGCAATACAATAAATGGCAGATGAAACACAATGGCATATGAAAATAGTAATGATAGCAAACTACCTGAATACTAAATAGGTGGCATATTATCATGGATATTTCATGCTTGCAACTTTAGTTTCCTAGTATTTCTAGCATCTAATATTAATAAAAGTCCTCAGAGTGCCCATGTTTTTCTTGGAAACAAAAGGAAAGAGCCAAATGATCAATTTTGGGTAAATGAAAGAGCTACAGCACAGTAAAGAGATGAAAGGAGAGCAACAGAGAATTTTAAAAAGGAAAACCATAAGCAGTAAGATAGAAAGATATTTTTCTTCTGAAATGCCTTGTGGTTATCAACTCCCCAAAATAGAAGCTGACGTTCTCATATTAGGAAAGGGCCAGATGTCTTATCACATTGGCTTTATAGTAAGTAGCATTAGAAAACAGCCAAGAATTAGAATTCTGATGAAAAGAAAGACAAAGTACTTTCAACTAATGTCCCTACTATGTCAAAACAAAGGTTTAAGAAAAGTAATAGGCAGCTTCACGGTTATGAGGTCACCGAGGCTGTGTTCCAGATTCTCTGTGTCAGCCGGTGAATGTGACGAGGTCCGTGGCGGTTGTACTCTGCTACTCAGTACCATGTGCAGCCTGAGGCCATCGGAATGGCTCGAACCGATCTCAACATGTTATTGATAAACAAGCACTGAAACACAGACCAAAGAACCACAATTTGTCTTAGGCTTTATAAACCTTGTTTTATGGATAACTTTTCAGTTTTCTCAAAAGGCTGTCCTATTTCAATATTGTGACTACCTCAGTGTTCATTTGAAGTTGGCAGAGATAACCTAACCAACCATCATTATGTTTTTGTAGTACGAGATATATCTTTCAATAAAGTCATTGAATTGGAAAAGAAAAACAGCCAAGCATTGTTGTCCTAATTTATTTCATGACACTAACAGTGATAACATTGTCTGGATGATGATGGTTTATTTTACAGCCAAACAAGTTATTGAGCTGGCTGGAAATCAGCAAACCACTTTTACTGATCTGGTGGCCCAACTAGGCTTGGCATCTTCTCTGAGGCCAGATGGAGAATATACGTTGCTGGCACCTGTCAATAATGCATTTTCTGGTAAGTACTGTACACTCTTCCTGCTACCCCTGCCCCTCTGCCACACACTTCTTCACTATGATTGTTTTCAATAAAGAAAAAAAAAATAACAGATGTTCTACAAGGTATTTTTTTATTTTATTATTTTATATATTTAATCATTGTCATTGAAGCTTGTAAAATGAATTTTCCCAGCATGAATACACTGCATATCAATCCAGTTAAAGATATTATCATACATTGTATCACCAATAGACAATTGTCTATTTTTGTGTCACTTAAATGTTTTGCTTCTTTCTTTGATTAGTTTCTACATTAGCTACACATACAATGTGGTAGCATTACCTTATTGCTTCTTAAATTTCCTTAATCTCAAAACCTCATGGATAACAGCCCATAGGAGTAAAAGTTTGTGCTAAGGAATATTCAGTTATTCTATAATTCTACTAATATTTTTAGCATGCGTAAGTTTGTATTAACAGAGCTTTTAAAATCTGATCCTTTAACACCAACATAAAAATATTTATGAATAAATAGATGCATTTTGCATCTCAGAATTTGGACAGTAAGAATATCAAACTATAAATAAGTAAAATTAAGAGACTATTGTACATTTTTATAGCATGAGTCGAAATACCTAATTTTTTTTACTTCGTACTTGCTGTTAACAAACCGTTTTTAGATTAATGCAATCAACCACTTTTTCCAGAAAAATTATTTCACAAAAACATATTTAAATTGACAAGCAAATTAAAAAGTAGGTATCACACTTTTTGTGACATAGAAAATTATTAATCAGAAAAAATTCAAATCCCTAGAAATGCAGTTTTTCCTCTTTATAATAATGATGGTCACATATTTTGACACTACACCACCTTTAAGAGGTTGTGTGTACTTTGATTCTCTCTTCAATAATAAAGATGAATTTACAAATTATTCACCAATAGTCTTTAATGTAACTAATTGACATCCAATTGTCATAAAAATCCTTGGCTACCACTAGGGTTTAGCTTTTGCCAGTGACCACCATAAAACTATGTAGCTCATACATAGATAAAAACCATTGTTTGAACTGCTTGGAACTGTTATAGGCATTTGATGCAATATGCCAGAGTTTCTAATTAGTAAATTGAGCTGTTAACCGAGGGTGTTTAGTTGACATATGTTATCTAAGTGTAGAAGCTCTAATACCAGTAGTATGAGGGAATATCCATTTTCAGAATTTTCACTTACCAGGAAAACATATTTACATAAAATAATACTTTTGTATAATGAATTTATTTGTAGATGATACTCTGAGCATGGATCAGCGCCTTCTTAAATTAATTCTGCAGAATCACATATTAAAAGTGAAAGTTGGCCTTAATGAACTTTACAATGGACAAAAACTTGAGACCATCGGAGGCAAACAACTCAGAGTCTTCGTATACCGTACAGTAAGTGCATTGGAAGAAGATAAAGTACCATGTTGGCCTAAATGTCACATGACATGCATGTGCCAAAGAAGAGTGTGACAACAAATGTTTCCCAGAATTTTATGAATGTTATATATGATAGTATACATTCATAGAAAGATCAGAGTACTGGGTAGATTGGGTGAAAAGTTGGAGGAAAATTTACAAAAAAGTCCAATGTATTAAGAATGCAGCTAATTGGGACCAGCAGATGGCATAATGGCTATGTCACTGGACTCCCATGAGATAGACCATGGTTTGAGGCCCAGACCCGGTGGCTTAAACTCATGCCGGGTACGTGTGTGTGTGCCCAAGATCCCAAGAGGTGAATAGAGAAGAAGGGATTGTAGTGTGGCCATCCCCCCAGGGGGTGATTTCTCACTTTTTGTCTCTCTGTCTCTCTCTGTCTTTTTGGTCAGTGTATGTGCCCTACAGCAAAACCTCTCCAAAAAAAAATAATTAATTTGCATTTACTATAAGAGCATTATGTTCTAAAGCATTCATTATTTTGAATTCTAGAAAGCACTAAAACTCCTCTAAAATAACCTTTCATTTGTAGAGACTTTACAGTTTGCAAGATAATTTCTGTATAGAACCAACTTGGTAGGATGATTTTTTTTTTGTAAGATTCAAAAACTGAATCCTTTGTGAATAATTTTCAAGATATACTCTTATAGACACACTGAGATTTCTGCATTCCATAAATATCTACTAATGTACTGTTTTCTGCAGGAAAATTACCAAAAATGTTATCAAAATTAAAGTGAAGCTAGTGGTATTGTTCAGTTCAATTGAGGAAACACATGTTGCTATAGCTAAAAGGTGTTATAGTAAATCAAACATCACTAAGGATTGAATATAGCATATAATAGCTGTGCACTATAGTTCTACAATTTCAAGATGTACACTTTCAATTATGCAGTAAATGAGCTAAGCTATAACTTATATATACATAGATTATGTTTGTTAAAACATTTACAATTAAATAATTGATATGACTTATAAATAATGGGGTCTTACGGTCAAGAAAATATAGTAAATATTTGCAGAGACTACAAGAGACAATAATATAGAAAGCTGCAGGGCTAATACTGACCTGAAGAAGGTCTAAAGAAATAATGAAAACCTAAAGGATGATGGAAAAGGTTGAAATAGAAACAACCTAACAGACACACAGGGTAATTTGACCACCCTGTAGTAGAAAACCCAGTCAGACAAGAACTGTAAGGGCAGGTTGCATGAGACATTAAAGAGGAAAGATCTTTTCTCTGGCCTTGCAGGTCAGGTAACCTCTCATAAAGACAAGCCAAATGATATATAGTGATGGAATGTTTAAAATAATAATGCGAATAATAATAATAATAATCTGATAAAAATGATGAAAAGCTATTTGATGATGAGGATGTGAATAGTAATGTCTTTGTCTTGACTGATAGGAATGGTATTCTTTGTCTTGACTGATATGTATGATGTTTCTGCTGGAAAAAGAAATGTAATACCCTGTAAAGATACATGTGATTCAATGTAATATAAACAAGATTATGATAATAATAAATAAATTGAAAAAAGACCAATCCAAAAATTTAATTATGCAACTAGATCCGTATGGGAAATTTCAAGCAAGGAAAAAGATGCCATGTATCATTCTTTTCTTTGCTAGGCTGTCTGCATTGAAAATTCTTGCATGGTAAGAGGAAGCAAGCAAGGAAGAAATGGGGCTATTCACATATTCCGAGAGATCATCAAACCAGCAGAGAAATCTCTCCATGAAAAATTGAAACAAGATAAACGCTTTAGGTGAGTTTATTAATTAAGCTACACAAAAGAATGAGAGCTATTTCCACGTTGTTGTTTAATAATTAGTATTCCAAAAGTCATCCAGTCTCCTTTATTTCTGAGAATAAAATTTAGATTAGGCCCACACAAATGTTTTAAAAGTTGATGCTTTAAATGTTATTTATTTTGCTTCCTGATGAATCATGATATAACTTGATCAGTGAAAAAAAGTTTAAAATCCTACGCACCCAGCCATGGAGGTGCAGCACAATGCTCAGGATGTTGGAGGCCACATGGAAGGCCAGAGTTCTGTTCCCAGGTTGACCTGTACAAGCCAGGTGCACATGTCCACAAATTTAGCCTTTTGGCAAGACTTGGGGAGGACTGTGGCACAAGACCCTATTCAGAACACTTGTCTTTCTCTCTCTCTCTCTCAGTAAATAGACTACACACACACACACCCCCCCACACACATATATATAGTCTAATAAACTACTTGCTTATTTTCTCATCACTTACTTTTAAAAAAATAACAATGTATACTAGCAAAGACTATTTTGTGGAGTTTTAAGTTAAAAACTACATACTTTTATTTTTTATAAGTGTGACCTTATCAAGTTTTATCAGATAAAAACAGAGATGAAGACATTGTAAAAACATGTTATATATTTTAATCATCATTTTCCCATGATAAACTTCCTTAAGAAGTGAATTGTGGGGCCAGCAGTTAGCGTAATGGCTATGTCACTGGACTCCCATGTAGTCGACCATGGTTTGAGTCCCTGACCCAGTGGCTTATACTCACGACAGGCGAGTGTGCTTGTGTGCCCATGATCCCGAGAGGAGAGGAGAATGGAGGAGAAGGGACTGAGGTGTGGTCATCCACCCTGGGGGTGATTTCTCGCTTTCTGTCTCTCTGTCTCTCTGGCGAGTGCATGCACCCTGTAGCAAAAACCTCAAAAATAAATAAATAAATAAATAAATAAATAAGTGAACTGTATTTGGAACATATGCAAATATATCAGCAATTTTTTGATGAGTACAAGATTCATATTTTATTCTAGTATATGGATTGTGGCTGAACATACTTAAATCTAACAAAATAAACTTACATCCTTCCTGTTTAGCATCTTCCTCAGCCTACTGGAAGCTGCAGACTTGAAAGAACTCCTGACACAGCCTGGAGATTGGACCTTGTTTGTGCCAACGAATGATGCCTTTAAGGGAATGACTAATGAAGAAAAGCAAATTCTAATTAGTGAGTAGGAGTAAATAGTAGACATTTGCCCCTTAATTTCAGAATTTCACTGCTTCCTCAAGCTTTCCTTTTCATATGTTAGTCTTAAAGATTTTCTCTCTTCTACATACTCATGGCTAGCTTTCATTTTCTTTAATTTACTTAGGATATATGGAAGATCACCCAGTAACATTCTTAAGCTATTTACTGTGATCTTGTTGGGTTAAATATTCACTTACATTGTGTCTAATGAAGGCCAAACAATTAGGCAACAAAGAGGGAAATAGTCATATTTTCAAAATAATAATTCATCTTTTTCCTCTGAAAAAGTTGGATAATATTTTGATTGAATTGACTAAAGTGACTATATTTTTTGAGATAACATTAATATTGACATTTAGGAGAATAATAAAAATAATGACATTAAGGAAAAATGCACTGTAGAAAAAAAATAAAGGAAAAGAAATGTTAGTTTCTTAGTCCATGTATTATCAAACTGTCAGAAAATACGATATACAATTATATAAATTTATTTCCTTCCCCTAGGGGACAAAAATGCTCTACAAAACATCATCCTTTATCACCTGACACCAGGAGTTTTCATTGGAAAGGGATTCGAACCTGGCGTAACTAATATCCTGAAGACCACACAAGGAAGCAAAATCTATCTGAAGGGAGTAAGTTGTACAGAATGAATTTATGATAAGGTTTATCCATCATTAAATTTTCCTAAAGTTCATTCTTTGTTAAATTTCTCATTGACACTCCTCCTGTTTTGTTAGGTAAATGATACACTTCTAGTGAATGAATTAAAATCCAAAGAATCGGACATCATGACAACGAATGGTGTGATTCACGTCGTCGATAAACTCCTCTATCCAGCAGGTTAGTAACTACTGAACTTACTAATGGAGAAAATCTTTTTCAATGGGAATCTATATTTTGATTTCACATTTTCTTACCAATGTCATCTAATATTCCTCTTCACAGATACACCCGTTGGAAATAATCAACTGTTGGAAATACTCAATAAACTGATCAAATATATTCAAATAAAGGTATAGAACATTACTGGATTTGTTTGGGTTTTGGTTTTGGTTTTCATTTTTTTTGGTGGGGGGAGGTTTTTGCTATAGGGCGTGTGCACTCGCCAGACAGAGAGAGACAGACAGAGAGACAAAAGGCAACAAATCACCCTCCAGGGGGAATGGCCACACTGCAATCCCTTCTCCTCCATTCTCCTCTTGGGATCTTGGGCACGCATGCACACGCACCCACGGTGAGTTTAAGCCACAGGGTCCGAGACTTGAACTGCAGTCGACCATATGGGAGTCCAGCAACAGAGCCATTACACTAACTACTGGTCCCCTGGATTTGTTTTTAACATGCTGAACAGATATTATTGGTTTAACAGATGAGACTATAAATGTATGCATTAATAAGTAAATATACCCTGTGTCTGCATTGTTCTTTGTTGCTTATAGACCACTGGCCTGCCTGTAATTTTTTCATGGTTTCGTTGAATAAATACTTACTAAAAGTTACTTGGGGCCAAGTAATGTATTGGGTTGTTGGAAAAGTCATGACGTATTTTTTGTATGTCTTTCTGTGTAAAAATATGTTGACTTTTCTGACAGCCCAATATTAAGTGTTAAGGAAAATAGTAGATTAAATCAGAGATGCTCTTTATTGAAGAAGTTTACAGTCCAAATGGGAAGATAAGGCATGTATATAAATAACCAAAATATTTCTATTATCAAATACCATTGCGACTTAAAATAATGGAAAGATAATGAATTGGTCTATTAAAAATTGTCACAAAGGACTATTTTATTTTTTGGTCCTTATAGAGCCTATGTAGCAGAAAACATACAATATTATTAATAATATATTTAACTTTAGATTAATTACTCTTTATTTTTTAAAGACTGAGTAATTCAGTGGTTTTTATGCCATCCGGACTGACAGCAAAGAACTGGGAGAGGATTTATGTGAAGACAATTCTATTAAGTATAATGATAACCTCACTATTTTCAGTTTAGTAAGAATTAAAGAGGTATGGTTTTTGATAGTACAACTATCCCATTTCTTGTTACTAAATATAAACATTTATTTTCAGTTTGTTCGTGGCAGCACTTTCAAAGAAATCCCCATGACAGTCTATAGTAAGTACATAATGAATATTTTCTGCATTTAAGTATAAGGTACAAAAAAAATATTTTCTTTGTATTTGCAGAGAATATTGATAATCTGGTTTTCAGAAATCCTGACAATGGCATATCTTTTTCTGATTAAAACAGGGTTTGAGGTCTGAGTAAGGCCTATCAGACCTGGCCATGCCCTCCAGCTCCATTTAATCTCTTGCCCACTTACTGGAAAAACAGGAGTGATATGATACGAGAAAGACAGTAGAACATAATGCTTGTGTAGGAAAGAGACAGAGGAAAACCCAGATATACAAAGGGGAGAGATAACTAAAAGGTGCAGAGCTGTCTGAATATACAGACATGTGGACATAAAAAGAACAGAAGCAAAGGACTTTTCACTATTCCATTTAAGCCCTCAGTTACCAAGGACAAGGTGGGAAGCATGTGTAGAACCCTAGTGTTTGAGATGTTAGTTCAAAATCACTCCTTATCCAGGATTTGATAATGAAACAAACAAAAAAATCTGTCAGATAATAAGCTTAAAATTTTTAGACCTCAAGGTTCTTCTATCTCTGATATACTACCAGATTATCAAAATTAAACCACTACTACTTAAAAACGGTCTATATGATTCTCATCTGTGTAGCCCATAAGATGTCTTCTTTATTGTGACTTCATTTATCTTCATTCTTTCTTTCACTGTAATTCTCAAAGCAGAAGTTCTTTTCATTTTGTTTTGGCTCTGCAATGAAACACTCAAAGTTAACTTATCAATAGCTAAAACATTACTTCAATTCTGAAATTCCTTCTGGCTAGAAAATTATTCTATTTTAGACCATAAGTACCCAGTTGCTTCATGAAGAACATTTCCATTAAGATTTATACTAGGTATGGAAAGGAATAATGTTAATACAAGGAGCAAAACAAAATGTCTGCTGATCTCAATTATGTAATAATAGCGTATGTAATTCCAGTGTCAGGCCAGCTCAGCGCTGTTTGAAAGATTTCATTTGAATAGTTTTGATTCAGCATGGTGTAAATTCCAGCCTGGAGATAGTCTTGCCAAAAATATATTTTATAACAAAGTAAAGAATCTTTATGGGCTCTATTCATCAGACATGGTATGTCATGATTTCTCTACCAAAGAGGTATATCTGCATCACAATTTCTTTATCTTTCCTGTTTTATCCATATTAGTTCCACCATTTTCTACATATGACTATGCAATATTTTGCTTTCAATGAGCTAAAATAGAATTGTAAGTCCTTTATTTTCTCTAACTAAACTGTATCCTGACTAACAGAGCATAGACTTCATTTCCTAAAATTATGTAAGATTCCTGCTTACTCGGAGTCTTTGAAACAGCTTTGATATTTACATTCCAATGTCAAATGTTTCTTCTCACTCAGGATGGGTATGCTGTTATTAAGGGGCATTTTCAAAGAGACGCAAAGACTAATTAAACCAAGGATTCTATTTTTATGTCTCTTTGTTGCCTTGTTTCTAAAACTCTTGAATTTCCTTGGTGTATATTATTCTTGTTCCCAAAATACCATGCATTTCAAAGTGTGTGGTGGAGTGGGAGAATGCTCTTTGGCATATGTTGTCAAATAGAGAACATATGGAGTGGAAAGAACTAAATTTAATGTTTAATACTCAGCCATAACTTGCCAAAACTATTTAAGTCTTCAGAAAAGGATGATTGAAACTAAACTGCTAACCAGCTGAACATCCTAAACTTTGGGCTGTATGAGAAGATATAAAAATTTTAAACTAGAAGTAATTAACTTAGGTTGATAGTAGCAAAAGAGACCTCTGTGCATTCAACCTTTGCAGGAAGATTCTTCTGTAGCAAGACCACCTATGTAATCAATACATGAACACACATGTTTAATAAATATAAGGACTTCATCATTTGCAACCTCAAAATATAAAGTCAAATATGACTGAAAAAGTCTCTATTCACATTTATTCAAAAGGTTAACACAGCTAAACATCTCAAAGGATGTGACAGAAACCCACCTGGGCTCTCTTATGTCTATCCAATCTGTTAACGATTATACAGTTTGCTTTACTGCACCCCGTTATCTAAGAAAACCATCTTCTACAACTTCTAATTAGAAATGACAGCCAATAGTATTGGTTCTGTGGGTTCAGAGGCACATTCTAAGTTAATTTGTATTACCAAAGTTAATCACATAGTTGACTGCTATTTTAAAATTAATTTTACACATTTCAATCTTAGGTAGATGACGAACATTCAAAACACATGCCTTTAAATTAAAAAAAAATGAAGATGAATAAGCTGAAACTTAAGAGCCATGTTAGCTTATAACTAAAATAGTGATCATATCATATTTGTTGCATAGAGCTCATGTCTGGCTGGTTTAGTTTTCTTCTTACGTTTAAGTAGTGTGAATAATTTTTTTCATAGTTTCCTTTCTATATTACTGTTATCAAATGTATGAAACAATTTTAGGAGTCTTTCTCTTTCCATTTTTTATTTTAATTGAAAAAAGAATCAAACAATGCAATTTAAGGTATTATACACTGCATTAAATTAATCATGTTTATTTGTCTTCTGTTGCCAAGCAGCCAATATTTTCAAGAAGTACAAAAAAAGGTAAAGAGCTTTAGTGGTACAGTTTAAGACTATAGATTTCTAGGTAGAACTCCTCACTGAGTATATATATTTCACTGGAATGAATCAAAATCACTGGACTACAGAATCCAACATCTGGATATGAGAAGATATTAATTTATGGATATTTCCTGTATCTGACTGCCTGAACATATTAGCTTATCTGATATCTTAGTAGCCACATAGATCAAACAAACAAAAAAACAATCTTGGGTTGTTTTTATGTAAATATCATTCATGTTCCACTTTCTATACTTGCAGCAACTAAAATTATAACCAAAGTTGTGGAACCAAAAATTAAAGTGATTGAAGGCAGTCTTCAGCCTATTATCAAAACTGAAGGTAAAAAAAAAAAAATCAATGTTCTACATGGTTCCTTTTATTGTGGAAAAGATCCAAATAATATGCCAATTTCTATGAATGTATCTACATTCCTTTTTGAAACTAACATGCTAAATATTTCTATACCAATGGCATGCTTATGTGATTGAAGAATGCAGTATGCAATTTTTTTAGCCAAGTAGATGGTGCATTTCTAATACTTTCAGTACATTTGCTTGTACTTGATTTAATTTGATCTAATTGACATTGCATTAGCACTAGTACCCAGATATTGAACAAATAAATCCTGAGCTCTTTACTGTAGTTAGACTCCTTCAGAGAGTACACGCTTTTGGTAGCTCTTTTGTACTATTACAAGAAGTTCTTTTTTTAAAAAAAAGAGCAGGCATTTTTCACTCCACAACCTATGAGAACATAGAGGCTGTACATTAAAGAAAGCTTTTAAAATCATAACCACACATAATATAGTTTAAAATTGTATCTCTAGAAACAGAGGATGAAATAAGTAGCTTGTGCATTGAGTCAAGCCTTAGAATCCTTAATCGCAGTCCTGAACATATTCTTATATACACATATATAATATATATACACACACACACACATGTATATATATGAAAGTATATATGCTATATATACTTTTCTTTTGATGTTTTAGACTAGAACATTGAGTAAGCAGTCACTTTTCTCTCTAAGTTTACTGTCTTTGTTAACCATCATCGTCTTTGATGTTGCCTTCATTTCATGTATTTTAATTATCTCAAGGTTCAGACTTTAAGAATTTTTTTTTTTATTTCTGTGTCTAAGCATTGTAATGTGGTGAGTTGCCACAGAATAAGGACCTGGTTATTTTCTTTATTTCATAAGAAGGATAGAAACAGTTTTCTAAATAAAGGACAGATTGCCTTCTATTGAATTTTCAGAAACTACCATTGTAATTAACTTTGATTTTGATATTTTTTCTCATTCTATGGATTCAAATGACAACTCCTTGAATATTTTTGTCAATTCATTTAAAAGCGAGGCATGATTTAAAACTTAGACACTTATGTGACATGGTGGTTAGGTGCTAGTTTCCCATATGGCCAACCACAGTTCAAGTGCAGGACCCAGCAGCTTGAAAATCACGCCAGGCGCTCATGCATGTGTGCCCAGAATACTGAGAGGAGAATGGATAAGAGGGAATTGTGGTGTGGCCATCTCCTCTGGGGGGCGATTTCTCACTTTCCCTCTCTTTTTCTCTCTCTGGCAAGTAATGCCTATGACCTATGTCAAAAACCTTTAAAAAAATAGACATTTATTACATTTATTACAGGTGAAAGTTGATTTCCTAGGTAATTAGCTATCTATATTATAACTTATTGTTGAGATCTAAAATTGAGTTATTCTTTAAAAATCTATCTGGGCTTAGTTTTGGGTTTTTTTTTTTAATACTATATCTATGGTCATTTGATTACATTTATATATTGATGAAGAGAATTTAGAGTTTTAAGAAGAAATTAAACCATACATATTTTCATTTAGAAAACGTGTCTTAATCATCTTAATGAAAAGTTACCAAATGACTTTTGATCATAATTGATTTAAAAATTTTATACTCTTTTTAAGGATATGATTCCTTAACATTTTGTACTTTTACATGTACACATCTTCTATAAGTGAAATTATTCACAACCAACATAGCTCTTATTTTCAAAGATTTTTCTTTCTTTCTTCAAGCTTCCACATTTGACCCATTTATCTTCCTAATTTTGTCAGCAGGATTTTATCCTATTAATCTACCTTTAATTAGACACACAATGTGGCAGCAATTCTACCTGAGTTCTTCATTATAGAGAACATGGATGAAAATTGAATTATGTTACCCATTCATTAATAACTTTTTGGTCCAAAAATTCAGTAGTCTTATATCTGTGTAACATACTGGGAGAAAAAAATACTTTTCTTGGTCAGTGTATGCAATTGTCTGGCTTCTAAGATCTCTGCAGTCTCTCCTTACTGTTTGAACTTTTGAGGGTTCACTGGTAACTTTTGAATTCTTGCTAATAAATTAGACTCTAAGGACACTTGTTTTCTTTTACTTTGGGAGAGGACTCCTGCATTTGTTGTAGGAAATAAGGGGAGGAAGTGAGAGAGAGCATCCCCCCACATCTATGGGGGTTGGCCACACCGCAATCTCTTCTTCTCTATTTCTCTTTTAGAGCTTTTGGGCATACATCCACATGCTTTGCATGTTTTTCAAGTCACTGCTTCCAGAACTCAACCACACAGTTAACCCATATGGGATATGGGATTAACCACCACATCACTGTTTGGCCCCAAGACACAAATTAAATCTAAAAAATAAAATCTTAAAATTAAAATTAAAAGAAACAAACAGAAACATCATAAAAAGAACTCAATCAAATGTTGGAGTTAAGAATAAATAAACTGAAATTCTATTCAATCTATTGTACTGGTAGCATGCTCTCAGATGTTGGGAATAAATATGAAAACAAATTTTGATTAAAATCCCTGCCTTCACAGTATTTAACTATAGAGCATGTTTCCAAATTCTCAGTTTGACCTTTCTAAAGAAATACCAATTTAGATATTTTATTAACTCATTTCTTGCTCTTAAACTCCTTAGACTTACATTTGTTTTTGAAATTACTATTCAATCTCCTATAGACTCAAAGATCAAATAGTTAAAAGTGATCTTGTTTTCATTATTTCATATTATTCTAGACTATTCTGGGTAATGGTGTACTTTGACAATTTCTGGACAGGCAAATAAATCCTCTCAAAGAAAAACAAATATGGTTACATTAAACTATTAAAGGGTATTCTAGTATGAGTTAAATGTACTGAATCTTATTTCTTACTCTATAAAATAGTCTTGATGAACTAATGTAGTAATTAGCTTTCTAACATTTAAAATGATTTTCTCTGGGAGCAAAATCATTTTGTAATTCAAATGCAACACTTGTTCAACTTTTGCATTTGAAAGAATGTTTATTAATTAGTTCATTTTTGCATCATTTTCATGTAGAAGGTAAGTATTCAGATCTGTTTTCCCATAAAACGTTGACCTCATCATCTTAAAGGTAAGTGTAATGGTGAGATTTGCTTATACTTAGGTCTATGTCTACTGGATTGAAAAATGCAAGAAAATGAATGATTAAAAAATTACTAACAAGGAAACAGTCATAGGTGATAGTGTGGTAAAGTAAGATCTATACTAGTTATCATTAGAGCAATTCAAATTTGTGCATACTATATAATTCACAGCGTAGTCACATATAATACTTCATATGATCATACTTTACAGCTACCAATGACATCACTTTAAATGCTAAGCAGATGAAAATATTTCAGCAGAACACCACTACACTGAGTCATTTGCTCTCATAAATATTGCTTAATGTGAAGACAATGGGAAATGTTTAAAACTGATTTCATAAAGCCTGAAACCACTTTGACATTTGAGTAACACCAAATGTTGAAATAAATTTTCTGTTCTAATAAATTCAAAGAACTGCTTTAACACAACAATTTGTCTCCTAAAATAATGTCTCAGGACCTACAATAACAAAGGTCAAAATTGAAGGTGAACCTGAATTCAGACTGGTTAAAGAAGGTGAAACAGTAACTGAAGTGATCCATGGAGGTGCGTTATGTGTTCCCTGGTGCCTAGTTAGCATCGCTGTGATTATTTTTATATTGGTTTAGAAATATCTGATGTTTTCTCTTGGTTTTTATTTCATATAAAACGTAGAAATAATTTTCTAAGCTATTTATTTCTTCCTTGTGAGGAAAAGACAGCACACCCAACAGAATTCCCACACCATAATCCACCCCCAGTCTCAGCCAACCAGGTCACAGGCGTGCCTGTGCCGGGCATGCCCAGAAGGGTCCCAGGATGCAAACCCAAGACCTTTCCAATGTGGGTCCAGCCACACTACCTCTGTACCACAGCCTTCAGTTATCGGTTCTTATTAGCCAGTTAAAATAAAATAGAGTTTACTTTTTAGTGGATATAATCATAATTAATTTAACCATTAAATCACTAGGTCTAACAAAACTGTCATTATTTCTGCATTTGCAAATGATGATTATGAAGTATAATGATAATAATTTCAATACAAAAACCCTATTGGACTCAGAAATAAAAGAAAATTAGCTATTGTAGAATACTCTGACTAATAAGCCACTACCAGGACTTATTACAGGGTTCTCATTCTAATGATAGGTATCTTCTTGTATTCCCACTAAATGCATATTCCAAATCAGAAAATAAGTATGACAGGAAGAAAGATCCTACCATCCGGCCCTCTCCTTCACCCAAGATTCAGTACATGACTATTACATTTAGGTCTCAATTGATCTGAATTTATTTGATCTATTATGTCCCCAAAGTGACTTTGCTTGAGTTTAAAATGATATTGTTTGGGGAAATATATTTAATCATTAAAGCATCTAGTGTACAGAATTAAGGACACCATACAAGAATAAATAAAATTCATTTTTGTTTCCCTACTGTCAGAGCCAATTATTAAAAAGTACACAAAAATCATTGATGGTGTGCCTGTGGAAATAACTGAAAAAGAGATACGAGAAGAACGAATCATTACAGGTAACCTTTAATTCCACACATAGAACTATGCCTGGATTATAAAGCTCAAATGGTAGTTAATCCTAAAATATGTCTATATGAATAATTAGAGAAATTAAGTATTTTTCATAGTGGCTATTAAAATTACTTCATTCCTTTTCAGGCAGAAATTATATTCTAAATATATAATCAGTGTTTTACTCTGAATTGGAACTTTGTAGACCAATCTGAAAGCATGTTTTTAATGATATGCATGCATATATATCACATAACATACCATTTCACTTTCATGTTTACTGAGTTATTGAATCCTAGAATAAAACCATTTCCTCTTTTGAGCTTCCATTAATCTGAAGATCTATACATCCACATACCAAAATATATGCAATTTTGCACAAAACAATTGATCAATAATTTCAGTAAACCTTTAATTACTTTCCCACCTGTAAAGTAACCTAAAATCATTTTATTCTGTAAGTATTTGTTTAAAAAACTAGTTGGCAACTATGGCCTGTGCCACCTATTTATGTAAATAGTTTACTGCAGTACCAGGATGCCTGTTTGTTCACGTCCTGTGAATGGCTGCTTTCACGCTGCACCCACAGAGCTGAGCTGGTACAACATCAAGCATACCACCCATTAGGTCTAAAACATTCTCTGGCCCTTTGCTGAAAATGCTTGTCTACTTCTGTTTCAGACCCTTTGTTTATTATTTCCTTTAGGTCCTGAAATAAAATATACTAGGATTTCTGCTGGAGGTGGAGAGACAGAAGAAACTCTGAAGAAATTATTGCAAGAAGGTCAGCATGTCTAGAAAAAGTAAAATTTGGCTTTATTTTTAGCTATCGTATCTATGTCTAAAATGATCTTTGAGGTTGTGTACATTTTCCATTCTCTCTCATTCTATTGTTCAAGTTCCATACCAACATAATAAAAAAGCCCAAAACCATGAAATAAAGTCTAAAAATAGCAGTTATCTTGTTACATATTGGTCAGCAATTTTATAAGAAAATGAATATTTCAAAAACAGCACGAAAACCTGAGAAAGAACTGATTGTTGGTCTGGAATTCAGATGCCATTATTTATCTAGCTCAACAAGTCTGCTGTCTTTGTATTATATAAACCATTTTCTGCTATAAACATGTATCCTCTCAGAGGTCACCAAGGTCACCAAATTCATGGAAGGTGGTGATGGTCATTTATTTGAAGATGAAGAAATTAAAAGGTTCCTTCAGGGAGGTTAGTAAAAGGGGAATCACTAACCCCGTTAACAGGTTTTAGCAACTGAGTTATTTAACTTTTCAAAGACTGAGCAAGCAGGCTTTTCTTTAAATTAGGTTAAACAAAGACATCAGTTGTCACTTAAACAAATCAATTGGTTCAATAGCAATTACCAAGAAATTATTACAAGTCTAAACAGTCTTTAAAAAGTTATGTGATGTAAAACTTGGGGAGCAATGAATATTTTTTTTTTGCTTTGATGAAGATAATGGATGGATATTTTAAGTATGTAAAAGGAATCATTTTTAAAATGCTAGCTGTCAATCAAATCCAAATTAGACATACTTTTATATTTAAAAAATATATTCACTGCCCCCATAACAATAGTAAAAGGCATGTTTTGGGACTCTAAAAGTGTCTAGATACAGCACAAAAAAAGAGCGCACTTAGTAACTTTCTTTTCCAAAACTACATTCTTGGGAATAGTATCTGTTTCTTCTAACAGTTTGAGTGATAATCTTTACCTGTATACATAAATAAGTTTGCATATGAAATTAATAATACTCTTTTTATGGAATGTTCTCTGTCTATGGCATTAAGTAGACCTACCTCTAAAACAAAGAGGAAAAAAAAAAGAATTCGAATGATTACACAAGCTCTAAATAGTAATTATCTGAAAGAATAGTAAAGCTTTTTAAATGTAATGTGGATCATTGGCAGTTGAATAAATGGATATCTACTTCATTTTTATCAAGAACAAAAGCATTAAGCAAAAAAAATTGTTTTTTTGAGACAAGTATTTAAACAATTTATTTAAATATGATCCTTTGGAATATACTTAAATTGAAAAACACAACTGAAGTTTGGTATTTACCCAAAGGACAGTCTAGATGGTTTTTCTTCTTACAACTTTAAAAGCCATATCACTATGTCCAAAAAGGTATAAATTCTCCCGAGATCTTACATCTTTGGGGCAATTATATTTCTTTATTCTTATTTCAGTATATGTAAAATTTCATATAGTATTTATAGACTCATCAGTGATAGTAACAGAAATGTTTATTTAATTAGCCATTGAAATTTTTTCCTCCATAGAAATACATATGTCTGAAAAACACAAAATTTTTACTCAGAATGTAAGGAATATATGGCATGCCCAAGCCATAATGGAGTCAAAGATTCCTATAAGATACAATGAAGAATTTGCTATTTACCCTTGATTGGTTATCTATCTGCTAGAAAAAGATCTAAGGATTTAAGGAAAGAGAAAAACATATTATGAAGAATGAACTGAATTCTTTTTTTTTTAATCCTCACCATAATAAACAGCTTTGTAGAATGGCAGTGCTTTTTAGAGAATGACTAAATTAGTAGCAGCATCTGTTTACATTGCTTTAATTTATTTAGGTGAAGCTTCAGGTAAGTATAATATGTTTTCTTCCCTTTTGACAAACCTGTGTTAGTAAGTCCATTAAATTTATTTATTTATTTATTATTTCTTTAGAGAGATTTTTACTCTCTGGGGTGCATGGGCTCACCGGAGAGAAAGAGAAATAGAGAGACAGAAAGTGATAAATCACCCCCCATCTCCCCCACCCCCAGGGACGATGGCCACACCATAGTCCCTTCTTCTTAAAACCCCTCTCAAGATTCTGGCATGGATGCACCGGCATGAGTTTTATGCTGCCAGGATCAGGACTTGAACTGTGGTCAATTATGTGGGAGTCCAGCAATGTAACTATTATGCTATCTGCTGGTCCCAGTGAGCCCATTTTAAACAGTACAGCTAAATTCTACATAATTGTTTCAGCCAAGACAAAATAGAACTGCTATAAATTAAGGATAAAATATTATCTTTTTAGTTAATGGACATATTTCTTAATAACTCTTCATTTCCGTGTATCCCAGATGTTGATTCCTTTAGTTCCTGGATTTATGATCTGTCTAGATATCAATAGCATATTAGTTTCCACAGTACCACATCATAAGTTGTTAGTAAAACATTTGAAAGATTTTCTTTTCATAGGAAAAAACAGTATATGCAGTAGAGTTACTAGTATCTACAGTAACTGAACATGCTAGTGTTATTTTTCTAGCCATCTAAAACTATCAGACCATCACTGAGTCACAAGTGTTCCTTTGTCTGGATCCTAAGAGATACCAATTCACAAAGAAGCTGGTGTGAATGGAAATTAAATCATGCAAAATTTTCTTTCATTTTCTTTTTCTGTTTCTTTTTCTTCTTTATTTTGTAGACTGGCTAATTGACACATATCCAAAAAATACTATTTCTCAAAAGTTTGTTTGTTCTATCAGAAATGTTCATGTTATGAACATTATGGTGCATGTAATATATTTTGATGATTCGAACGTACTCCCCAATCATTTAAGTCATGACTAGTAACAAAACTAAGTAGTTATTTTAATACCGATATTGTGACTTGTCATGACTGAGAGACTTCAGAACCCTTAATTGAATAGTATTTTCATAAAGTATATAGGATTGCTCATGTTTAGCTTAAGTAGAACTTTGTAATGTGAAACTATGTATTGAAGGAGAATATAAGACTATAGAGGAGGAAGGAGGGAAATAGTCATTTTGGAAGGTTTGGGGAAATTTACCATTATATCTTGTTATGAATTATAGCCTCTATAAAGAATAGTGGATCCGGTTTTAGGTCTAGCCTCAATTTGAGCTCCAACTCATACCTATGTTAGTTGACTCTTCTGCTTTCTTTCCATCATCTGAAAGTGAGAATAGTAATGTTACTTATATCTAAATGAGTTAACATATGAAAACTCTTTGAATAATGTTTAGCACATACAAAGATTTCAATGAATGTCACTATCAGTATTATCATCAATTTATAAATACATGATTAATAAAATAATATTTTACACTTAAATTTCCAAACTCACAGCCATGTAAAAATACACACACACAAAAAAAAAAAAGAAGAAGAAGAAGAGGACCAGCTGGAGTTGTGGTGGTTAAGGTTGGTTAGTGGATCCCATGTGGCCAACTGAGCAGTTTTAGCATGCCCAAAAATCCAGAAAGGAGAAACGGAGAAGGAATTGTGGCATGAACATCCCATGAAGGGTGCTTTCTTGCATCTCTCTTTCTCTCTTCATCTCTGTCGGGGGAACTCATGTGCCCTCCTACAAAATTGAAAGACAAAGGAAATAAATGGACTGAAACACTACCTGTTTTGAAAAACATGTGGTAATGGGACTAGCAGATGTAGTAATGGTTACACTGCTAGACTACCATGTAGACAACCAGGTTCGAGTCCCGGACCCAGCATCTTAAACTCATGCCAGGTTTATGTGCATGCATGCACAAAATCCTGAGAGGAAAATTGAGGAGAAGGGACTGCAGTGTGGCCATCCCTTATCAGGGGTGATTGTGTGCTTTCTCTCTGTCTTTCTAGTGAGTGCACACACCCTACAGCAGAAATATCTCTTAAATAAAAAAGAAAAGAAAAGAAAAGAAAACATGTGGTAGAGAGGTGAGATTTGTGTGGAATTATTCAGATGTTTGCTTTATCACCACGCATTTTGCTTTTCTAGACATGGCCTCATGCGGCTCTCATTCATTTTGAAATAGCATTGAGGCACTGAGAGCAAACACGATTTCTGTACTTATAACAAGTTTTTCTTCTAAAATGTTTGCCACATTGTGCGTGACTTATTCTGCTACTATCATATAAAAATAGTAGCCAATTAACAAAATCTTATTAATTGCATACTACCAAATTTATGAAAGAAAATCTGAATGTATTTTTTTGAAAAGTAATCTTGCAAATACTTCTATAATCCTGTTTTAATTTTTATAGTAAACTGCTATTTTAAATTAATAAGAACATTATTAATAACGATCTTATTTACTAATTAGTTTGGTTCCATCTCTTGGAGATATTTTAAAAGCCATTATTGTCAGGCTAAGTAAAAGTGAAATTAAGGAAAATATATCTATGAGGGGTTTCAAAAAGTTTGTGGAAAAACAGAATTAAAGTATGAGTTTATTTTGTTGCAGAAAGTTTTGGAGATTCATATATATTTGTTCACAATATATACTTTCCACAAACTTTTTAAAGATCCTCCTTATCTGAGACTATTTCATAATTCAGACTTTGCTATGTTACATAGACTTCCTTCATTATCTAGATTAAAAATATTTTCCATATTTTACTATACTAGTAATATAATGCGATGAGTGGCTAGATCTTCATATTCTGGGAAAAATCAGACATTGGAAATGTGCTAAGTAGAGAAAGTAAATGTAAAAATTAAAAATATATATATTTCTTTTTTTATTTGCTTGGTGTCATATCCAGAACAATTTTTGGTGTTGCCTTAACTGCTTACTTTTTAAGTGAATTTAGAGAAAAAAATAAATATTATGTATATACACAGACTTAGAGGGAGAGAAAAATTTTAATTTTATTGCCATGGATAGATGATATATTAAAAACATGAGTCAAAAGTTGGAGAAAAGAGAAAGGTAAACAGAAACATAATATTACTGAAGACATTTACTCTTTGATTTCAGATGATCCATAGTTTGAGTAAAAATGTGAAATTTAGGTCTACCAGGTAGTTCTTGTCAATAAGTTAAAAGAAAAAAAAAAGAAATTAGAAATATTTCTCAATTATAACACAAAACTCCATAGTTATTATTTTTACTAGTTATTCTTTTATAAAGTTATCATAGAGTTGACACTAAATTTAGACACTAAAATTAGTTGACACTAATTGATTGTTACTACATTTCTAGAGTCATTTGGTTATTGTTGTTTTGTTGTCCTTGTAAACAATAAAGCAATCCGAAATTAATCTACAGTGAGGGTTTTACAAAGGTATACATTCTAAATAGGAATGCCTACAATAATGAATTTTTATTGCTGGGAAAATTTTTTGTTAGATTTCATATGATGTTAAACATTTGATCATAAAAGTTCTATTTTTACAAAAAAGTGTGAAAAACATTTATTTTACAAAAATGGCGCCCTCTGTAGGCCTCCAAAAGTCATGATGAAACAATGTGTTTCAGAATTAGCGAACATTCATTATGATATCTAGAGAGCGAATATCTGTCAGCTGTCAATGTGAAACTCTAAGGATTCTAAAACTTGCCTCCAAAAAAAAAAATCTGTCTGTTCAAGTAATGCTTATTTAAAGCTTTATACTTTCCAGCTTAACCAAGATCCCTTACCTGAGTTTAACCATAATTGCCAAGTATTTCTAATTACAACTATTTCATTTCAGACACACCTGTGAGAAAGGTACAAGCCAGCAAAAGGATTCAAGGTATGTACTGACCATAGCAAGGGGCATATATGGCACGTTTTGTTATGTTACGAGAAATCTAAGAAGAGGATAACATTTTAGTGCATTTTATTGAATTTTTTTCTATTGGGAGAAAAGTTAGCCTATTTTGATGCAAACTATTTTGATAAAAAAAAAAAGAAAAGAAACTGATCATATTCTCTACTATTAGCAAAATCCAAGAATACTAATTATGGAAAAAAGGAAATTATACTATGTAAACTGCTGGTCAAATTTAACCACTGAGGTAAAGAAAAGTCAAAAAGAAATTATTTAATACCCCAAGAAGAGTCATTGCAGGCAGATCTGAACTCTAAAAAAGATTTCATGAGACAAATTTATAATTTGAAACATATATAAACTAGACCTGTACACATACAAAAAACTGTTAATGTAACTACTTACAAAGTTTGGATATAAATATGAAGCTTATATATTTGCATATATCTGATATGCACTACAGTTTTCTTCATAACTTACATGTATGTGAATTTTCGATTCCTCAAGTAAGTTTACCGTACCTCTTTCAATGTATCTAGATACATTTAAAAAGTAAAGGTTTACCTCGTGGAAACTAGAGTAAACACCCAAATTCATATAAATTTTCTAAAGAGCTAAAATTATTAAGTTTTGAATTCTTATTTTTATATTCCTATGATCCATCTATAATATTGATTTTATCACCATAAACTGGTAATTTTGGAGAAAGTACAATGTTTATTATAATAAGAAATTACGACTTTTGATAGATGAATTATACAAAGAGTATCCTACTCTTAAAGTCTAAAAGTTTTATCACATTTACAAACTATATGTTTTCCCTTCTTCCTAATCAGGATCTAGAAGACGATCAAGGGAAGGTCGTTCTCAGTGAAAATCCAGAAACCAGGCAATGAAGTTGACACAACCCCTAAGTCAGTAACCTGACCATTAAGGAAAATTACGAGACCAATATTGACTTCAGAAACTGAAATGCCAACACAATTCTAAACAAAAATTTAATATTTTCTTTTTTTAAATGAGAAACGTAAGAGAATTTGTAAGGTTAGTCTCTTATGGGATAGGAACTGAAGGCTTTTTTTTTATCTGGACATTAGGAGTTCTGGCTAACCAAAGGAACCAGATTCATTACAATTCAGATCTAAGAGTGGTGAGTTGTTTATCTCATTGAGAAGATTGAGCCTTGAGTACACACAATGGATAAATAAACATGTGCAAGCAGTTACCTCCCCATGGGAAGCTAAATTATAAAAATGGGTGCTCAGTAAAGAACAAAACTTTTGCATGAGAAAGCTTTGCACATTTCTAATACAATGTGGGTTTACTGGTAAATTATGTTACTTTTAGAACTAATTTTGTACTCTCAAAATGTTTGTCATATGCTTTTTGCAATACATATTTTTTATCTCAAACATTTCAATAAACCGTTTTTCAGGTATAAAGAGAATTACTTCAAACTGGGTAACTCAGACAATTCAAGGTTTAAGTTAAAAAGTGGTTTGGAGTTGGGAGCAAGACTTTATACCTCTTTTATTATAACAAATATTCATTAAAGGAAACTGAATAAAATGGATATTTCTTGCATTTTTCTTTTTTATTATTTTTAAGGTTTTTGCTGTAGGGCACTTGCACTCACCAGAGTGAGACGGAGAGAAACAGTGAAGAGAGTGAGAAATCACCCCTCAGGGGAGAGAGCCACACCTCCATCTTTTCCTACATTCTTCTGAGATTTGGGGCACACATGCACAAGCACTTGGACCATCTTCAGCTGCCAGGTTCAGAATCAAACTGCAGTGTGCCTTGTGGGAGTCCAGCGCCTTCACTACACCCACTACTGACCCAACAAATTCTCAAACTGTTATATAAAGAATCATAACGGCTATGTCGCTGGACTCTCATGTAGTCCACCGCGGTTCACTCATTGACCTCGTGGTCCAGTGCACATGTGCATCTGTGCCCAAGATTCTGACAGGAGAATGGAGGAGAAGGGATTGCGGCGTGGCCATCCTCCCTGGGGGGTGATTTCTCGCTTTCTGTCTCTCTGTCTCTCTCTGTCTTTCTGGTGAGCACACGTGCCCTATAGCAAATCCTCCCCCCTCAAAAAAGAAGAATTAGACAACAAAGCAGTCATTAAACATCAACTGAGCACCTAATAGGTGTATCAGACACAGTTCCTCGAAGGTAAAGAAACGAAAAGGCGATTATCCACAATATATCATGGCTATAATACGGTAAACAGCACTACACAAGCTTGAACGCATCCATTAATTTTTACTGGGCTAGGCATAGAGGGAGCTACACAGATGCCCTTACCTAGAACTTGAAGTAACAGTTCGTTGTGTGACAAAAGAGAGAAAAATGTTTGTTTGCTGAAAGTGATACAGAGATCAACTTGATTAATCAGATCTCAGCAGGTGTCATCCTTAGTTTGGACTAGTTGAAATACAAATGTTAAGGAAATAAAATCCATACTGATGAGGAACTGAGTGGTGATAATGCAGAACTGAGCAGTGATAATGCAACACATTATGCCATGCTTTAGAGGATAGTCACTGGGGGGGGGGGGGGAGGGCAAAAACTAAGGAAAGCCAAACCGAAGATGCCAAGCTAGTTCATAGATGTCCACAGTGAATTGGGCTCAGCACTAAAGTGACACTAACATTACCATCTTATATAACCACAAAAATATTTTTTAAATAATCTAAATGTTCAAATTAAATTTGACAGCTTTGCTTTCAACAAGTGTTAAAAGAGAATAATCCGTTATACAAAATTTTTAAATAAAATTGTGTTACATAAACCAATTTATACAATATAATATATAATATACATAATTATATAATATGTATATAATATGCACATATGTATGCATATTTATATAAAATGTATATAATATATAATATGTATAATATACAGCATAATGAGTCTGTAATATAGTACTCATTTTTAATATAATCATCTTTTTCAAGACCCTGCCCTAATGTCTTCTCATTGAGACACCTTAACTTACTACTTAAAATTTCAAATTGACCCATGGGAACCAGCAGTTAGCGTAATGGCTATGTTGCTGGACTCCCAC